TTATACTTTTATTCCTTTAGTATTATAATTTTTTTGATTAAGTTTTAAAAAAAAAAATCATATTTAATTCCCAATCCCAACAAAAATGTCTAACTAAAACAAGAAGAATGCTACAGATCTTAAAAAAAACACAACTTCCATTCACCTGTGATTGGTCCGGGAAGAAATGAACAAAAAAAAAAAGAAGCAAAAATGCTTGGGACCCTCAAAGTTGGGAACCCCAATGATCTCCAAAATAATGTGGGCTAATCATGTGTTTTTGCCTTTGTTTTTGTTTTTTTCTTTCATTCCTGAATCAATCACAGGTGAATGAGAATTGTGTTTTGTGGGGATCAGTAGCATTGTTGAGAACAAAAGTACATAATTTATCCACATCATTTTGGAGGTTATAGGAATCCCCAACTTTGAAGGTCCTAAGTATTTTTGTTAAAATAATATTCACACAATCAAAAAATTTCACATCTATTAAAATATTTTCCTTACAACAACAGTTTAACCACAATTGACCACATCCCTTTTCAACCTATCACCTGATCTTCTACACATACCTTTTTTTTGTTTTGTTTTGTTTTGTTTTGTTTTTTTTTTTTTTTTTTTTTGTGAACTGGTTTTTTTTTGTGAACTGGTCTCTTCTATACTAACCTTAAGATTTCGATTTATAGTCCCTTTATTTAAGGTAAATTATCACTGGATCTTAATAGTTGAATTTAATTTTCATAAAATTCTATTAAAAATAAGTTATAGTATAATCGTAGCTAAAAATAATTTTTTGTAACGTTATTTACATATGTCGTTAAAAATTAAAAATTAGTGACTTTTTTTGTCACGATTTTTATAAATTGTAACTGAAACTTATAATTAGTGAAATTTTTATATGACGAATTTTTCAAATCGTCGCTAAAAGATGAAAATTAGGGGATTTTTTTGAGACGATTTTTTTAAACTATCATTAAAAATTTATAATTAGTGACATTTTTGAAATAATTTTCAATCTGTCACTAAAAATTAACAATTAATGAGTTTTTTAAGAATATATGATGAAAAATATCATTAATTATTATAGGACTTATTTGACAAAATCCACTTAGTAAAACCTATATGTAAGTCCCCAATTTATTTATTGAATGATGCATATTTATTGTAATTTTTTATTTTCGTCCTTTCAATTTAAACTGGATTTTGAAATTGGGTGATTTGGGGGGTGTTTGACAATATATATATATATATATATTTGCTTTTTAGGTTAAAATAATAGAAAAAGATAAAAGAAATAAAAATAGTCAATAAGATAAAATGTTATACCAAATACAGAATCATTTCACTTTTCTTCTCACAAACATCATATTTAATTACAAAAAAAATTCAACTATTTTTCTAAATACAACTATTTTAACTAATTAAAATAGTTAAATACTAAAATAGTCTACTGAAATAGCAAATGTGATAGTAAGAATTATTTTTTATTTTTTATTTTTTATTTTTATGGATTGAAAAGAGAAACTTAAATTGTGAAATTCTCGAATTGTTCTTTAATCATGACGGGAGTTGATAATTGGAACAAACTGAAAAATATAAAATAATTTTGGAATCAAAGTGAAATGATATTTTTTTAAGGAGCAAAGTGAGAAATAGCTCATATTTTAGGTGGTAAAAATGTAATTGACTCTATATTATATAAATAAAGGGGAACTTATATTAGCAACCTTTAAGGTGTCATGCGTGCATGTAATTATTTGCCAAATGTGTTTTTGTAATATGTAATCACCTATTATCTTTTATTTATTGATTTTATTTACTATTGTCTCTTGAAAAAAATAGTGAAACATTCCTCTCAAACTTTGAATAGAAAGAGAGGCCCAATATTTTTTTTATTAGTTAAAGGTCTCTCGATGAAATTTTTTTGTGATCATACTAGAAAAATTGATTACAAAGAAATTTTGAAATTTCTCTATAAAAATTAAAATTTCTCAATGTCAAGACGAAATTTCTCTATGTCGAATTTTTTCTATAATAACGTTGAGGGATCCCAATTATTATGAAAATATTATATATCTTTTATTCTATAAAATTTTAATACCAGTAGCCTTAAAAAAAAAGTTGCCATGCCTCTTTACATATATGCGAAACTCATTAAATTTACATCATTTTAGATTTGTCTTATTATTTCTTAAGATCTGTAATTGGACTTCCTAAGCTAAGTATTTTCATAAATTTGCTTGATCCTTTATTTTACATACCCAAGTTCAAGTTATGCCAACAAATGAAGGATTGTTCATAGGTGAATCATTTAAGTGATTTTTTTTTTTAGTAATTAATTTAGTTTTCATCAAAATCTTTTATTTTTTAGGTTCTTTAGTCTATGCAACTTAAAAAAAGTTTGCAGTTTTTACGTCTTTTAATTTCCATCAATTTTTTTTTTTTGATTTTTAGGTGTTTTTGGTCTAAATGCACCTATGGCTCTGTACCGAGTGCGAGTTTCAGAATTTTTTTTTGCAAATTTTGCCTAACCGATCGTCCCACTGGTTGACCGAAATAGTAATTTTTATTTATTTATTTATTTATTTTTGCAATTGATATGTTAATTTTTATATATTTGAAAAAAATATTTTCTGAATTTTTAAATTTTTTTTATGTGTTTTAAGTTAATTTTGAGTTGTATGTTTGGTTATGAGTTGTAAATTTTTGTATCAAATATCAAATGTCACATCAACAATTCCCTACTCAATTCAAAATTCTTTTCAAAACTATTTTCAAAACTCTTTACTAAACAAATTTTCCACACTCAAATCATAATTCCAAACCTCACAAACTTAAAATACAACTCATACTCTCAAATCATAATTACAAAACTCTACCAAATGCAACATACATTTTTTAAAAGGAGCTTTTTGACAATTTTTTAATCTTTAGTGGATTTTGTTTGTTTGTTTGTTTGTTTTTTAATTTGTGTGTGTGTGTTAAGTTTTATAGAAATCCTTGAAATATCCAAAACCTATCTAATAACTTCAATTTATTAAAAATATATGAAATTGCTTAAAAACGACAATATTATGATTATCTTAAAAACAAATTATAGCAATCACTAATGCAATATTTTCAAAATTGATTTAATAATATTGGCACCTAATATTTTAAGTGATTTGCAACCCACCCCCCTCTCCAAAAAAAATAACACATTGGAACAGCATTTTTATTAAATTAAATTTTAAACACAATCCATACAAAGCATAGGTAAAATACTAGTAATTATGTATAACGGTATATGAACAAAATAATATACTTAGTTTAAAGTATAAGAGATTAATTGTCAAAATTTAAAATAGAGGATCTAAAATAAAATTTTGATAAAACTCAGGGGGACTTGCGTATTGTATAGGTCGTAATAGGTAGACTTATTGTCTAATGGGTCTTATGATAATTAATGGTATTTTTCATAAAAAAATATTAAAAAACGTCACTAATTGTTAATTTTTAGTAACAATTTGACAATTTTATCATAAAAAATGTCACTAGTTATAAGTTTTAATGGCTGTTTAAAAAAAAATCGTCACAAAAAATCACTAATTTTTAACTTTCAGCAACGGTTTAAAAAATTTGTCACGAAAAAACGTCACTAATGGTAAGTTAGTGATAATTTATAAGAACCGTGACAAAAAAAAGTCACTAATTATCAATTTTTAACGAGATATACAAAAAACAAGTACAAGAAATTATTTTTAGCGACAATTTTAATAAGACTTATTTTTAATAAAATTTAAATCTAATTATTACACCTATTAGTAATTTACCACAAACTTAAATCATGTTAGATTCACAAACACGTTACGGTTACAAAAGATTATGGTAATAAATAACGAACTAACATAGTCTTGGTGTCCTAAATATATATATATATATATATATATATTTTTGTATTTTTTATTACAACAAAACATATCAATAGAACATGTAATTCAACAATTCGAGTTACAACTGGAATAAATTATATATACTTTATTTGATTTGATTTTCAGATTTGATTCTGATTTTCAGAAAATTATATATTTTTTTATTTTTCATATTTAAATGCTTTCAATGATTTTTTTTTAAAAATATTTTAAGTAATTTTTTGTAATTTTTAAACACACTTAACATAAATACACTTAAAAAGTATAATATTAGTGATTTTTTTAAAAAAATATACACTAAATATCAAAAAAGTATGAAAATTCAGTACATTTTTCTTATTTTTGTATATTTATTAATTTTTTAAAATATTTTATCACAAATATTTACTATTTAGATACATGTAAGTAAGATATATCTAAAAAAGTTAAAAAATTGCTTAAAATTTAAAAAATATTCACTAAAAATAAAAAAATATGAAAAACAAAAAACTCAATTTTTAGAAAATTAAAACCAAACACATTGATTAATTTAAGGGTAAATTATAATTACATTCTTTGAGGTTTAATTAAAATACAAATCATCCTCTATAGTTTTGGAAATTACATTCTACCCCGAGATTTCTAATTTCATAACAAATTATAATTTTTATTAATAAATCATCAAGTCAATTAACAATTTTTAATAATGTTAGAAATATATTTCAATTAATAATTAAATTTTTTTTATTATTGTTATGAATTTCATTTTTTAATTAATTCTGTTAAATTAAAAATTCTAACAAGGGGATATTTGTAATTTTTCAAATTACATGGAGCAATCTGTACTTTAAACAAATCTCAGAGAGTGTATTTGTAATTTACTTTAATTTTAAACATAATCTGGTGTCATGATTTTCTTTATACATTTTTATTATGATTAAGTTGAAATGTTTAATGCACATTGAGTAGGGAGAATTTTCAAATACAAAAATATAAAAGTGCATATTAATAATTAATTTTATTTTATTTAATGCATTCCCTTTAAAAAAGAGAGCGAGGCTTAGGGAGAAAGACATGAAGCAGAAAGTGGTGAAGAAGAGATTGCCTTTGAAGTTGGCCAACCATAAAATTCGATGCACTTCCTTACATTTCTCAGTTTCTACAACACACAAACAAACAAACAATCCTAAATATTCTCATAGCCATACCCTCAAGCTATTCTTACCTTACAGAGCAAGTCAAGCCATGCATTTGCCACCCTCTCTCTCTCCACCCCCTCATCCCTCTCTTTCTCCAAATCTGCTTTCCACTTTCTCTATCTAGAATTCCAAATCTCTCACATCATTGCCTGTCGGCATTAGAGACCCTTTTCATTCTGCCAAAAAACAAAAATAAAAATTTCCCAAAACAGCTTTAATTATTGTTGTGATATGTCCAAAAGAAATGGGTTTGTTCTTAATTTTGTACTGCTCTTGGTTTCTTCGTCTGTTTTCTCTCACAAATCTGTAGTTTTTGGGTCCCCTGTTTCGGAACAGAGCTTCAAAAGACCCGATCCTTTGCGGCATTTCAAATTGTACAAGGGAGGTTATGATCTTACCAACAGACATTACTGGGCTGTAAGTTGATTCATCTCTGCGTTTTTTAGTTTAAAATTCAAGGTTGTGGATGACCAGGACCAGACCAGTTCATGAGATGACATGGATACTCTGTTTTTGTTTGTTTGTCTCTGTTTTGGGACACCCACGTCACACGTTACATGTAACAAACTGATTTGCCAAGGTAGTTGCTGTCATTTTCCAGAAATAGAAAAGAAATTCGCTAGTCGGTTGCTGTTATTTTCTAGAAATAAAAAAAAAAAAACAGAAATCACGTTTGATTTTATTATTATTATTTTAATTTTAGGGAAGGAGGTAGGACAGTTAGATTACAATTCAGGTTAATATCAATTTATAGACTAAGACTTTACATCGGCACCTAAGTGCACCCAAGATTAGCCCACATTAGTTTAGTCTAGCTTGGGTTGTTAGAATTTTAATTTTAACATTTTTTTTAATGCTGAGAGTGACTTTTAATTTACGGTTGGGATGTCTTAGGTTCAAATTATAATATATATTTTGCCGAATATGTGAGGGAGGGCCTTTCTTAGGATCGGTTCTCGATTATCAAAAAAATAAAAAATAAAATTAAGAAGTGTTGTGTGTTATCATCGTTTTTTAAAATGACCATAAAGATTCAATTCTTATTGATTATTAAAACAATTCAATTATGTAATGAGATAAAGCAGTGACAATTTGGTCAATGGTCATGTATAACATTTTTTTTGTTATAAATTTTAGCAAAAAAAACGATATCTTTTTTTATTTTTTTTTGAAAAAATGTGTTTAGCAAAAACATTGCGACAAAGGAACTTTATTTATTTATTTTTGGTACATGTCAAAGGAACAATATTTCTATATTTTTCATGTGAAAAAAACAACAACATATTTATGTATTTGTATTATATATATAAATAGTGCATCATTAAAATTTTGTCATTATTTTGTACCACGGCTTAGTTGGATGCTTGTAATTAACTTCTTAATTGAAAATACTTATTAAAAATAATGAAAAGAGTAATATCTTGTCATGTTTTGGTGATCAAATAAATCAACAATAATAAATAAATAATTAATTAATGTATATAGTTGATGTCTTCGCCAAGTTTATCAATTATGTCCTTCAATTTTATTATGTTTGTGCATGCTTTTGCTTGTGTTAGTGTGTGATGCTTAGAATTGACATTTTTCTTCTTTTTGTTGTTGAAGTCAGCAGCATTTACAGGGATCCATGGCTACGCGATTGCTGGAGTTTGGGTGATATGTGGGCTGGGGTTTGGGACTTACCTTACCCTCAAAAATTTCATTGGCAGTAGCTCGGCTTCCTCTTCACTTCCCCAACATTCAGAATCTTCCTATATCATAATGTTCTTGCTCCTTATTCTCTTCTCCATCCTGGCCATGTAAGTACTTTTCCCATAAATTCAAAATTCAAACGAAATAAGTTTTTAAATTTTAAATTTTATATTTTATATTTTGTTACAATAATTTTAAGTTAGATTCATAAAATCGATAACACAATCACAAATACATGACTACTTGGATTTGTGGATAAACTGTTAATTATGATTATTTTATCTCATAATAAAATTACTATGCATTTGGTTCAAACTTTGTTATGTAATGTTTTTTTAGTCTCACATATGCATAATCATTAAATTATACCCCCTTGAAAATATATATATATCATATGACTATCATTTTTAGTTGTTAGATTTAAAAAAAATGAATTAGAGCTATTAATTCAATTAATAACCAAGATAATTATGTGTCATAATCAAATATTTTTGAGAATTGATTTTTTTTAATTAAAATTATGAGTTATCAAAATAGGACTAAGTTCATAACTTAAAAAAAAAAATTGTAATTCATTTTAATTTGACATATAACCTCAAACTGCAATGTGGCTTAATAAAACATCACTAATATTTCAATCTATCAAAAAAAAAAAAAAAAACACTAAGATTATGATGGAAAAAACCATATTAAGAATATAATGGAGTGCATGATAGATTAAAATAAAAATAAAAAGAGAAGGAAAAATAAAAGAAAATAAAAGCATGTTTCATATGATTTAATCCATTTGTGTTTGTAGAGTCGCGACGGGTTTAGCGATAGCAGCAAACCAGAGCTGCCTACACAGAACTAAAACCCTAAAAGAAACCGTTCTCGGAGCCGGCGGCGATGCCCGTAAAACCATCCGAAACGTGACTGACACCATGAATAACATGCTAAACCTTTTGCTTCCCTACGATTCCAAAACATGCCGTCTCTTGAATTACACAAGTCATCAGCTCGCTAGGGAATCGCGATTGATTCGAACTTTTGTTCACAAGAATGACCACACAATCAACAGAGCTATTCAATTATCGTGAGTATCTGTTCCCAGTGACCTTCAATTTCGTCTTTTGATGCGATTTTTAGGGTTCATTGGATGCAGCACTGAACTGAACTGAACTCAATTTCTGCATTTTGTTAGGTACATTGCAAATCTTGTGGTTGTCACTGTCAATTTGGCGTCTTTAGCTGCTGCAATAGGTGAGTTTCTTAATTTCATGTTAATTTGCAATTTGTTTGTTGAATTGTGAAGAATTTGTTGAGAAAAATGAAAAAAAAAAGTGAATGATGAAAGACTGAAAGTGAAGATTTTTTTACTTTTCTTTTCTTTTCACTTTTATCGTTCCCTTCACAAATTTAAAATTCAAACGCAGTGGGCTTTGTTTGAATGCGACTTTTTAATTTTTAATTATTAGGTTTTTGGTGAAAGTGAGATTTTTGTTCAATTCTCATTCTCTGTTTTCTAATGTTAGGTCTAAAAGCTCGTAAAAAATTTATGAAAAATAAATAAAATTTACAAAATCAATTCACCACAGAATATAAAACTTAATTTTTAATTATTAGGTTTTTGGTGAAAGTGAGATTTTTGTTCAATTCTCATTCTCTGTTTTCTAATGTTAGGTCTGAAAGCTCGTAAAATTTTTATAAAAATTAAAGAAAATTTACAAAATGAATTCACTACAGAATATAAAATTAATTTAATTGAAAAAGTTGCTTGTTAAGTTGATAATTTTAATGGATTGTTTTTCAAATTTCATTCATTTAAAAAAAGTTTAGTACACTGTTTGTTTGGGTGAAAAATATTTTTGGTGTTTGGTACAACGGAAAACGAAATTTAACAAAAAAAACATTTTTCTTGGTCAACGGAAAATAAGTTTATTTTACAGAAAATATTTTTTACTTTTAAAAATTAGAAAATATTTTCCGAACTAAAATTTTATCAATATCACCACCCCACCACCACCACTTTCACCTCCACCACCACACCACCATCACCACGGCCACAGCCATTATCACTGCCGCTGTCGCCCCACCACCACCATGCCATCACCTCCATTGCCACCTTTGTTCCTCCACCACCACCACCACCACCACCACCACCACCAAACATAGCTCAAACAAACAGGGCGTTAGTTGAAGAAGTTCTAAATTTTTTAAAAATAAAGTAAAAAAATATTCACTAAAAATAAATAAAGCCAGTAAAAGCTATAAAATTTTCATAGTTATGCCAAGCATAGTTTTGTATTCGAGTACACATGGTGATGTATCCTCTAGTCAAAAAGAAAAAAGAAAAAAGAAAAAGAAAAGTATCATGTCGTCAAATTTTGGTTGAGAAAGTACTTTAAAATTAAAAGATAAAAATTCATGACTACCACCATCTTTTCTGAGCATCTATTAATTCATGGCTAGCTGTGAAACATTTTTGTGCACAAGCACTACAGTTCATTTTCAACCCAAAGGTCCCCCCAAACCATGTAGTTGAGTTGAGTCACATATCTGAATAGCACAACATAACTGGAACAAATTTCTCATACTACCTCAACAATTTATCAGAAAAAATTTGTATCTAATTTGAACATGAAAGTTTCCATAATTATCATTAATACTTGAAAGTGATTTTATATTCCTCCTTTTTCTTTTCTTTTCTCCACTGCATATTCTTAATCATCAGATCCATTCTGACAAACATTTTGAACAAAACAAACTTGGTTAGACTAATTGGATTGCTGCTTTGGCTCAGTTCTGCTCTTCTTGCACTGGCACCCGGGATTTCTCATGTGAGCACTTAAATTTATACATTTGATTATTACATTCATACATCTATTATACCGTGCTATATAATTGATTTTGTGTTCACTTCAATCTCAGTATAATTCTTTTATGCTGGATCTTCACAACTCTATGTTGGGTTCTTACTGGCTTTGATTTCTTCTTTCACACGTGAGTACAAACTCTTGAAGTATTAATGGTGCAAAGCTTTACATAAAAATTGCTTAAGTCACGTTTTCAACATAATTATACTTTTGAAACCAATCTTGTCTCAACACGCAGCTTTGCAGATGATACTTGTTCAGCCCTCCAGAATTTTGAACAAAACCCTCAGAATAACAGTCTGAGCTCAATACTTCCATGTGCAAATTCTTCATCTTTTGACAAAGTTTTCAAGGACATTGGTTATACTGTTCATACTTCTATAACTGAGGTATTAAATTGGAATAAAAAAACCAAATACAGAACTGGACACAGAATATATTTATACACAAGATTTTTGAGAAGTGGGCTCAACCATCAAATCTTGTAAAATCATGTTCATCCATATATTTTTTGTGTTTGATTCTATATTTGGTTTCTGCATAACTAGACTTACTGAAATTGCTATTGGGGCACACACACAATGGTGGTATTGTTTCATAATAGTATGAGAATGTTTTCTTGCAGTTGAATTCAAAAATAACACAGTTAAATGAATTTCTTCGGTTAGATGAACAAAACGACAATTTTTCAGAAGTTCAGAAGATTTGTGACCCTTTTCCAGCTGCAACAAATTACAGCTATGCACCTGAAAAATGCCCCAAGGATGCCATTCCAATCGGTGACTTGGCTGGTGTAAGTGACTCAAATCCATGGATCTTTCCATTTTGAAACCTGCTAAAAACCTGCCCAAGTTACTGCTTGGATTACCATCCCCCATATTAGGTGAGTCCCACGTGGAGGTGGGGCCCACTCCATGTGAGGGATGGCAATATGGACAGTAGCTTGTGGGGGTGTTCCAAACATTTTGGTTCTATTTTTAGCCATGCGCAAGTTTTGGAATGACATGAAAACTTACTCTTCAATGAAAATGCACATGTAGGTCCTCTCAAGATTCACCTGTTACCCAGACAATACAGGAAATTGTGAACACAACCGGAGATTTATTCCAGAGTCAACGTATGTCATTGCTCGGGCTTGCAGTATTGCCCTTCAGGACTTGATAAACATATTCCCTGATTTGCTGAACCTGGTTCAATGTTCCTTTCTGAAGGATACATTCTCTAACGTTGTTTTGCATCAGTGCAAACCATTTAGAGCTTCCACTCGAAAGTTATGGATATCTCTGTTATCTCTTTCCGTTGTCATGGTGGTTTTAGTGTTACTTTGGGTAGCAAAAGCTTATCAAGATAGGGGAAGAAGCTTCTTACTGTGTTCCATCATCCCAAATCCTACCATCTAGGCAAAGCTTACTCTAGATTACCAGCATGATATGCATACAAATTTACAGAAATGTAGTTAGTATAGCAATTTTTTTACAGGGAAAGTTTAGTGATTACGTAAAGTTATTTGGTGGATCCCACATAAGTGTATAGTCTTAGATGCTGTTGGGACAATGCCACCAATAAATACTGAATTTGTTTTCAGTAAATACACTCCATGGTGATAGTAATTACTCCATGGTGATAATAAGATGTGGGTTAATAATCATGGAGATTAATGTAATTGCCAAACAGAAATTGTACATATTACATAATTGCTCTGTAGTGATGTTTATGTGTCTTTCTTCGGTGAGTGCTCTCTCTCCTTTTTTATTTTTTTAAATGTATTGTATTCGAATGCTTGCTAGTGGCATCTTCAATACTAGCTTTGTCACAATTTGAGAAGTTTTACCTTGCAAGGACAAGATATTTATCATTGATATGTTAATTAACAAATAATTACTGGTAGTTATAAAATCTATTTATCCTTGTAATTGTTTGTGCTCTGTAGCCAAGCCATGGTTTTTGTTTAATGTTGTGTTTGGGTCAATGATAGCGTCCCTCGCCTGTTTCAACCCTTTCTCTAATCACAATGGTTATTTCTTACTCCCTCGACGTCTTGCCCCTATAGCTTAAGAGAAAAATGCACAATGAAGAAAATAATAAATATTTCGTTGAGACATTTCATCTATATTGCGTATTTACTATTTAAAGCATGTATTTAACAGATAAAATAAATTAGGAACAATAACAAATTTAGAAGCAATCACAGTTTCATGGGCTTTCCTGAAAATTAGAAAATAAACATTTAATGAGAGAATTTACATCAGAATATACATTTAAAAGGATGCATATTGTTGAGACAAAAAGAAACGGGACATATAATAAATTTTAGAGGACAAATGGGTTTACTTATAATTCTCACAAAATTGTGCCGGGCAACTACTTCTCTTAGGCATATATTGGCTCCACTCTTATCATATTTGTTTCTTGTATTGATGCTACAATAATTTATTTATAAACATAATAATACAAGTATATAATTTAAAATAAAAAAAGAAAACAGAACAACAAAAGTAAAGAAACACTGCCACCAATTATCGGTGACAATGATATTTAAACAATTATTCAATAGGTCATGTACATCACATTATCATGTTGATGTGATATATCCAACTAATGAAATTTTAAATAATATGATACTTGTTGTCAAAGTTACTATAACTACTCCATATATTGTAACTTTTTTCCTCCATATATTATTCTCATTGACTGAACACCTTACCCATGTGACATTCTTTATCAATAGAATAACTTCGCCCGAGCTTCATTTAAAAAACCCCAAAGACATGCTTGCGGCCTCTTATTAATAAAACAATACTTTCAAAAGATAAACCAAAAAAGGTATAATATTTCTTGTAACAAGTTGTTTGCTTTGTTTTCTTTAGAAAAAATTTAATCGATCAACCTGATATGCTGTGTTCTACAACTCGCAAAAAGTATATATTCTGGTTTTGGATGTGTTGCTGGCCCCGTGAGGCCCATCAAAAGATCTGATTTCGATAATTTGAATCGTTCAATATATATAACTTGTCGAGTATTTTATCCATGTAAAAAATCATATTGATTGGATATTGATAGTTACTTAATCGGATCAAATTTTTGTCAATAATTTATTTTAAAAATTACATTTACCGTTAATAAAAATCTAATTCGATAAAGTAATTATCAATATTCGATCAGCGTGATTTTTTACAGGTATTAAGTACTCGACAAGTTTTATATATTGAACCGTTCGAATTATCGCAACGGGACCTGTAGTGTTTCCATAAACCCAACAACACACTTAAATCCGTGAAACCTAGCCCAGCCCTATAAAAATATGGACATGGATTCTCTCTCTCTCTTCCATTTACTTGGATTAAATAGTGCAGTTTACTTAAATATTTTATTTTGCAAGATGTGCTTAAAGGTTATTCATTCATTGTGTGTTTACATATTTTTATTTTTTAAATTTAAAAGAAGTGAATATATATATTTTAGAAATAATTAATAATTATAATAATATAGTAACAGTTTTTTTAAATATTTTTTTATTTTTAAAATCGAGTGACAATTACATCTACTTGTCACTCCCTAAATGCATCCTTAATCCCTAAATCCATCTTTGTGAGTAATTTGCTGTGTTTCGTTTCTGTAAAAATAATATTATTGATTGAGAAAGTGAATTTTCTTTTCGGCAATAAAATTTCAATTAGATAATACAATGTATACATAATTAATCATAATCAAATTGGTTTTTAATTTTTCATAAAACAAATCTGAATTTTTTTCCCCCTCAAAAACAAACCCCATGCATCATCATTGCAGTGATAATAACCATGTTTGGTTCGGTTTTTAAAAATTTATTTTAATTTTTTTATTATAAAATACTAAAAATTAATTTAGTGAAAGAAATAAAAAAATTTAAAATAATTATCATTTTTATATAATTTTATCCTTTGAGAGGTTAAAAATAATTTTTAAAAATTTTAAAATATCTTTTTAATATTTATTTTTATCAAATTAATATTTATTTAAAAAAAATAAATTTTTTTTTTAGAAAGCAACCTAAAAATGACCAATATATATGGGGACCTAGGATGCTGTTATGACTGTCATAGTAGCGATCTGCTATGAATTCGTGGAGGTTTTTTCTGAGTCTTTTTTGATGTTTCGAGTTGTTCATATTGTAAGGTTCGTTGAATATATAATCCATACAAAAAATAAAGTTAATCAGAAATTTGTAACCCAAGAACAAATTCAAATTGTTTTTATAAATATTATTAAGATAATGTCAACTGCTTATTTTTTTAAAAACAAATGTGCCCTAGTTATAAGCTATGGATTTTCAATTAATTTAATTTTTTACATGTATAATCTATTTAATAAATCTTACAATATAAACAGTTTAAATCATTAAAAAAAAAACTCAAAAAAAAACCTCCACAGACACACAACAGATCAGCAGCATCCCAGATCCATATATATGGATGTTGGAATCATTAACAAAGTAGTTTGTTTGGGAAGTGGGTTATCTTTTTGATTTTTTGACTTTTTTAATTATTTTAGCCTGAGTTAAAAAGTTTAGTTTGAGAAGGACTTTTGATTTTTTTAAATTTTTTTGTGAGAAAAAAGTATAATGATTATGAGTTAGATGTAATGTTTTATTTTTTGTGACTAAAATAATCTATTTTATCTTTTGGACTAAAACAACAAAAAAAAAAAAACCCCAAATTCATCTTCTCAAATGGAGCCAATGTCTCTTTAGACAATAATTAAAAAAGTCAATTTATTAATTTATTTGAATTATATTATCTTTTTATTTTTTTACGCATCTTTTCCTGATAAGTAAAAAATCAGCTAAGCTTATAATCATAAATACAGTTTTACTCCATAATTAATGATTGCACCAAAACTGTTGCAGTAATTACATTTTTCCTGATTTAGAAGTCCCAACACCAGTAATTAATTTGGGATTTTTATTGATAAGTCCAATTTAGAAGTGTTTTAATTCAAGAAGTCCATGAAGGAATATTTTAACCCATTTAGTCCCATGTATGTATAGTTTTATTCCATAAAGTCAATTTTTTTGATTTACACTATTTTCTTGGACACTTATGCCATTATATTTAATTTTGATACCCTTACAAATATTTTTTCAACGATTAGCAATTTAATGATGTGAACATTCATATTTTAAAATTCACATTTGTAAAAATGTAAATTGACCCGTGGGCGGTCCGAAACCCGCCCGCGAGCCAGGGCGGGCCCGGCCCGTTGACAATGTGAATATTCACATTGACATGTTAAAATTCACATTAATAGGAGCGTAAAATTGGCCCCTGCCCCATGGCGGCTCGAAACCTGCTCGCGGCCCATGGGCGGCCCGGGACGGGCTTGGTCCGGCCCGTTAACAATGTGAATATTCACATTGACATGTTAACATTCGCATTGATAAGAGTATAAAATTGGGCTGCGACCCATGGGTGCCCAAAAGCCCGCCCGCAGCCCGGGGCGGGCCCGGCCCGGCCCGTTGACAATGTGAATATTCACATTGACATGTTAACATTCACATTGATAGGAGTGTAAAATTAGCCCGCGCCTCGTAGCTGCCCGAAACCCGCCCACGGCCTGTGGGCGGGCTCGGCCCGGCCTATTGACAATGTGAATGTTCACATTGACATGTTAACATTCACATTGATAAGAGTATAAAACTAGACAGCAGTCCAGGACGGGCCCGACTCGGCCCGGCCCGGCCCGTTGACAATGTGAATATTCACATTAATAGGAGTGTAAAATTGGCCCCTGTCCCATGTTAACATTCACATTAATAGGAGTGTAAAATTGGCCCATGTCCCGTGGCGATGCGAACATTAATAGGAGTGTAAAATTGGCCCCTGTCCCATGTTAACATTCACATTAATAGGAGTGTAAAATTGGCCCCTGTCCCATGTTAACATTCACATTAATAGGAGTGTAAAACATTCACATTAATAGGAGTGTAAAATTGGCCCCTGTCCCATGTTAACATTCACATTAATAGGAGTGTAAAATTAGCCCATGTCCCGTGGCGATGCGAAACCCACCCGCGGCCCATGGGCGACCCGGGGCAGGCCCGGTCCGGCCCGTTGACAATGTGAATATTCACATTGACATGTTAATATTCACATTGATAAGAGTATAAAATTGGCCCGCGGCCCATGGACGGCCAAAAACCCGCGCCGCTGCCCGGGGTGGGCCTGGCCCGGCCTGTTGACAATGTGAATTTTCACATTGACATGTTAACATTCATATTGATAAAGTGTAAAATTGGCCCGCAACCCGTGGGCGGCCCGAAACCCTTCCGCAGCCCGAGGCAGGCTTGGCCCGACCCGTGACAATGTGAATATTCACATTGACATGTTAACAAGAACATTGATAGGAGTGTAAAATTAGCCCACGCCCTGTGGCTTCCCGAAGACAATGTGAATATTCACATTGACATGTTAACATTCACATTGATAAGAGTGTACAATTGGCCCGTGACCCGTGGGCAGCCCGAAGCCCGACCTCGGGCCAGGGCGGGCCCGGCCTGTTGGCAATGTGAATATTCACATTGATATGTTAACATTCACATTGATAGGAGTGTAAAATTAGCCCGCAGCCCGTGGGCGGCCCGAAGCCCGATCGCAGCCCGAAGCGGGCTTGGCCCGACTCGTGACAATGTGAATATTCACATTGACATGTTAACATTAACATTGATAGGAGTGTAAAACTTGTCTGCTGCCCGAAGCTCGCCCGCTGCCCGGGGTCGGCCCAGACCCAAACCCGGGCCACCCCAGGCCGCCCACGGGTTTTGGGCGGCCCATGGGATGCGAGTCAATTTTACACTCTTATCAATGTGAATGTTAACATATCAATGTGAATATTCACATTGTCAATAGGTCGGGCCGGGCCCGCCTTGGGCTACCCACGGGCCGTGGGCATGTTTCGGGCAGCCACGGGGCACGGGCTAATGTTACACTCTTATCAATGTGAATGTTAACATGTCAATGTGAATATTCACGTTGTCAACGGGCCGGGCCCGCGTCAACCCGGGGTCGGGCTTCAGGCTGTCCACGGGTCACGGGCTAATTTTACACTCTTATCAATATTAATGTTAATATGTTAATGTGAATATTCACATTGTCAACGAGCCGGGCCGGGCCCGCCCTGGGCAGCGGGTGGGTTTTGAGCCGCCCACGGGTCACGGGCCAATTTTACACTCCTATCAATGTGAATGTTAATATGTCAATGTGAATATTCACATTGTCAACGGGCCGGACCGGGCTCGCCCCGGGCCACCCATAGGACGCGAGTCAATTTTACACTCTTATCAATGTGAATGTTAATATATCAATGTGAATATTCACATTGTCAACAGGTCGGGGAGGACCCGCCCCGGGCCGCTCACGGGCTATGGGCTAGTTTCGGGCAGCCACGGAGGGCGGGCTAATTTTATACTCTTATCAATGTGAATGTTAACATGTCAATGTGAATATTTGCATTATCAACGGGTCGGGCCGGCCCCACCCAGCACAGCTCACCAGCTGCAGGCGGGTTTTGGGCCGACCACAGGCCGCGGGCTAATTTTACACTCCTATCAATGTGAATGTTAACATGTCAATGTGAATATTCACATTGTCAACGGGTCGGGCCGGGTCCACCCCGACCCCGGCCCGGGCTTCGGGCTGCCCACGGGTCATGGGCCAATTTTACACTTTTGTCAATGTTAATGTTAATATGTCAATGTGAATATTCATTGTGAACGGGCCGGTCCGGGCTCGCCCCGGGCAACGGGCTGGTCTCGGGCCGCCCACGGGCCGCAGGCCAATTTTACACTCCTATCAATGTTAATGTTAATTTGTCAATGTGAATATTCATATTATCAACAGGCCGGGTTGGACCTATTTTTTTGGCTTGTGGGCCGGCCCGGCTCGACTCAAATTTTTTCGGGCACCCACGAGGATCGATGTGAGCCGGGCCCCTACACATTGACGATATAAACATTTATATTGACGGTGTGAACATTCACATTAAAGGTATTTTGGTAATTAAGTCACCCATAGGACTTATTGAAACATAAGAAAATAATGTGAACTAAATGGAACATAAGTAGATGAAAAGAATATTTTGGTCTTTTTATCTCAAATTGGACCTAATGGAATAGTCAAAAAGAATATAGGTTGGATGGAATAAAACTCTTAGAAAATGAATTTATCAAAAAAGCTCCCAATTAATTTAGTTATCCTTATGTAGCAAATTTATAACCAAGCAATTACATTTTTTTCCTGATTTAGAAGTCCCAACACCAATAATTAATTTATTTACCCTTATGCAGCAAATTTTTAACCAAGTAATTACAATTTTTTCCTAATTTGGAGTCCCAACACCAGTAATTAAGTAATTACAATTTTTTCCTAATTTGGAGTCCCAACACCAGTAATTAATTAATTTATCCTTACGCAGCAAATTTTTAACCGAGTAATTACATTTTTCCTGATTTAGAAGTCCCAACACCAACTAGAAAGAGTAATTAATATTTATCATTAGTTGGGTTATATGTATTAATTAATATACTAATTAATGTATTAATGTTAGTTATGACATTATTATTAGAATAATGCTATATATATCAATTAATGTACTAATTAGTATACTAATGTGACATAATTTTAGAGATTTTAAATGTTTATAATTTATATAGCAACAATGTTAGGTAGCTCAAAATTTTATGACTTAAATGGCTCAAATCCCTCAAAACGAATTAGTATACTAATGTGACACAATTTTAGAGATTTTAAATATTTATAATTTATATAACAACAATGCTAGGTAGCTTAAAATTTAATGGCTTAAATGGCTCAAATCACTCAAAACAACGTTGTTTTGAATGTAAATAAGTATAAAACGACATCGTTTTGACAGATTTGAATCATTTAAACGATAAAATTTTGAACTACCAAACATTTTCTTTTATATAATAAGTGAGATCAATAATAATAACATAATACACTCATATATATATTAATTAATATATGTAACACTACCATTATTATTCACCATACTCATTATATAAATTATAAATATATAAATCATAACACATCAATAATTAATACATTAATATATTACGCAGACTAGTCAATAAAATCAGTTTTTTCCCAGAAGACACTACTACTGTACAGATAGAGAGAGAGAGCAGTATCTTTGGTTTCAAGCCATCATCATCATCGTCTCTAGATCCAATTTGGACCAAAAAATTGACATACCAACCTCCTCTCTCTCTCTCTCTCTCTCCCTCCTAAACCATGAACGAAGGGGGGCTTTTGGGGAGCTCTCAAGGTTGTTAAATCGTCAGATGAATATAGGACCTTTTTTGATTGCCAATACATGTATACCGAGCTACGGATTACTAACCACGTTTGTATGGTTGGAATAGCTTCAATATGTAACACTACCATTATTGTTCATCCTACTCATTATATAAATTATAAATATCTAAATCATAACAAATCAATAATTAATACATTAGTAATATATTACGCAGACTAGTCAATAAAATCAGTTTTTTCCCAGAAGACACTACTACTGTACAGATAGAGAGAGAGAGCAGTATCTTTGGTTTCAAGCCATCATCATCATCGTCTCTAGATCCAATTTGGACCAAAAAATTGACATACCAACCTCCTCTCTCTCTCTCTCTCTCTCCCTCCTAAACCATGAACGAAGGGGGGCTTTTGGGGAGCTCTCAAGGTTGTTAAATCGTCAGATGAATATAGGACCTTTTTTGATTGCCAATACATGTATACCGAGCTACGGATTACTAACCACGTTTGTATGGTTGGAATAGCTTCATCACAGAACCCATTTCTGGATTTTTCTCTCCACTCATGATTCGGACTCTATCAGGTAAGTCCTATGATGCTCTGCGAATTTGTTCCACCTGGGTCTGCTGTTGTGTGTCTTCTAGTTTATTTTATTTATCAATATGTGTTTTCTTAAATGGCTTATTGGGTTGATCGTGTATCTGATTGGGGTTTTGTATGGATCTGCTTTTTGATGCATCGAAGCTTGTATTGAAGTGGGTATACCTCGGATTTTGGTTTCTCGTTATTATTTTTAAGTCTTTTGTTTTATTGAAATTCTGGGTGGTTTAGATTTTTAGTTGATTTAACTGTCAATTAGTGGTTGATTTGTTTTGCTTATGACTAATTGGCAATTGGCAAAGAATAGAACTCTATTTGAGCTAATGAAACTAATGAGCATATGTTTAGGAAGGGTTATATGCTCTACAGTATCAATGGTCGATTTCTGATTATTTGTTGTACTACTCGAAGAGTATTTCTTATTTCTTAAAAGTATTGCACAGAAATTGAATTTCATTCAAAATAATTGTTAGTAATTAAATAACAATTATCATTTCTTAATTGTTTTTAAGTCGTTTGTTTGCAATTTTCCATGGATTCCATGGACAATATGTATGCGTGTGTGCACAATATAAGTTTGTAATGTGAGTATTTCTCTACTAATTTTCTTTATTATATTCTGTAAGATATAGTTAGTATGTTTATGACTTTACTTTTGGATCTCCATAGGTTGCATTTCTTAATTGCAGCATTATCTTGAAGATTAAAAAAGGGAACAAAAATGAGGATGAGGAACAAATACCGGAAACCAACCACTTTACGTTGCAATGCAGGAAACAGATGCTCATTTCCTGTTGTCGTGTGGAGCCTTGTGGGATGCCTCGTTATGCTCCATCTGTACACACTTGTTCATCACAAAGACGGGGATGGTGGAGAGATCCAAATGCGTGCAGGCCATCACCTTCTATTCCGCGAGCTCAAAGAGGTGGAGGAGGAGAACATTCAAATTCCTCCACCAAAGGGAAAACGATCCCCACGTGCTGCCAAACGGAGGCCTAGGCGGACCACTACCTTGATTGATGAATTTCTTGATGAGTCTTCCCAGCTTAGGCAAGTGTTCTTCCCGGATCGGAAAACTGCTATAGATCCATTGAAGGATGCTGGGAATGAAAGCTTCTACTATTATCCCGGAAGAATTTGGCTGGATACTGATGGAAACCCTATTCAAGCTCATGGAGGTGGTATCTTATATGATCAGAGATCAAGGACATACTATTGGTATGGAGAGTATAAAGATGGCCCCACCTACCATGCTCACAAAAAAGGTGCAGCACGGGTAAATATCTAAATCTGAATGCACACTCTTAAACTATTTATTATCTATATTCCACAAAAAATGAGAATTTTTTCATGTGACATCATTTTATAATTATACTGCTTATGTTTCTGAGGATGAGATTTACGCATCAACAAATAAGTTTCAAAGGATCAAATTTCTACGCCCTACATAGTCAATTCCACCTGTGTTAGGATTAATTATCTGATGCTAGTTTCTATTTCTCATTTTATGTGGGATTTATTCTGCATGTGTAATTTAAACTTAAACACCTGTCATTCTGTATGCTATCGTAAAGACAACACTGGTTTGTTGACTCAATGTAAAACATAGGAAAGAGTTTCTTGCTAAGCATATTTCACATTTTATAATGTAACTTGGGTGCAGTTTTTTGAAGCAAATATATATGTGGAGAGATTCATATGACCAACCACTGGGGTCAACGAGTATGCAAAGCCAATGTGCTTCAATAGGTCACTAGGTTTTATGACTTTAAGTGCTAGCATGATGCAACTAAAGACTATCCTTATCAAATGTCATAATTTGTGGGTTGTAGCAGGCTATTCTTGCGAATGGCATGAGACAAAATCTAGGCTGTACCACTGAACATGATGTTTGAAAAGTTGTTACTCTTGGACAAACATGTCATTTGTTCAATTAACAGATAGGGATTATGGGAACTGTGCTAGGCTGATGTGTGCCAGTTGAAGGCATACATGAGACATCCTTATGAGGTGCTGATTCTTCAGGATTGTAGCTTTTTGTTAGGATTCTTGGTTGAGAAAATACAAATTCAAATATTGTTTATTTTAATCAGAGATCAAATAAAGAACTATCACATGGATGTTATAGCTGGACATTGAGTTCTCATTCTTGAGAAGAGTGGCATAAAGAATAAATATAGAGGGTGAAGGAAAAGATGCGGGTAATCATATTACCTGATGTCGAAATGGTTTGGATTGAATGCTTGAATTACGAGTCTCGTCTGGAAAACCTTTCGTCGTCAATTGAGAAGTTACCAGAGTTTTTCAATATGTTATTCACACTCCAAATCCCTAGGTTCTATAATGGTGACCTAAGAGGGAAGAACTGAGAGAAATATTTTGCAGAGATTTTTCGAGTAAACTCCCGCAATGATAATACGTATAATTGTTCTTCTTTATATCAAATATATAGAGTATTTCTCTGCCGATAGAAGTGGAGTTGTAAACTCCCACAACTACTCGTAACACTTCCAAAGGTAATCCCTTTAATTATCTTATTTATTTAATAAGTGAATTATTTATAACCCATGTGGACGCTCCATGGGTGAATTATCCGATCCAATTTCTTGTGCCGTATGCATAATTCTTCTATAGACGTGACATAGTGAGACCTCGTCTGATATAAATCATTGCGGATGCAAACAGGTAGTAAATCCGTGTCTGGACTTTTGTTTCTGACAGTTTGTTGATTACAGTCATCAGTTTGAAATCATTCAAATAAAAGTTCCATGGCAATGTAGGTGCAAATATGTTAAAATCCACCTACTCTCCACCTACTTCACCCACTTAAACCTACTCCACTAAACCTAACCCACTAAATCCACATACTCTCCACCTACTTCACCCACTTAAACCGTTTGTTGATTACAGTCATCAGTTTGAAATCATTCAAATAAAAGTTCCATGGCAATGTAGGTGCAAATATAGGTTATTTCTGACTCGAACCAGAGAGATTATGGTTGTTTAAGCCTATCTCGGAGCAGGAGGATAGAGTTGCTAGTGAGCAGGAGTCCTGAGCAATATTTTCTGATACACAGTCAGTAATAGGAACAAAATGACTCACATATGGTTGTGACGGTGATTTGGTCATTTTAAGGAAAGTAAGCCCATGTTGTGGCAGTTGATTACGAAGAATCATGGAGGGATTTATGTCCAAAAAAGATTTCATGGTCTGATTGTCAGGGATGGGAGCTATCTTATGCAAGACCTTGGTTGATCTAACACTGTTGGTTTTGAGGTGTGTAACAATAAATTGATATTTGTTAGAACTTAGAAGTAATATCCATTATTTTGATCTTCTTTATCATTATGTCTGGCTGAGATAATGTACTAACTAGGTAGACTGACCATGGATATTACTTCTAGGTAGACTAACTAGGTAGACTGACTAACTAGGTAGACTGACCATGGGCAGTAAAAAAGAGGGTAGGAAGGAGGATAACAAACAACTACATGATTGCAGTGAACTACAAATGTGTAAACTTAAAACAGGTTTGATTTGTGAAGTTCTACAAATTTTGAGGTTAAGAGGGTGAAAAAATTCTCATAATGCTCACTGCATAGGACAAAGGTAAGGTTGTGGGATATGTGTCCGACATCTATACCGAATTTAGACACTTGGATCCTCTAATTTTTTACAATGTTGAAAGACGAAGCAACTCAAATATAGTGTAAACAAACATTTCTAAACTCTTACATGGATGAGAGATTTAGGGTGTGTTTGGTTTGCTTTTGAGAGAGTGATTTTCAAAAAAAAAATTGGAGAGAGAGTTTAGAAATTTTTTTGGTTTATTTGGTTGTATATTTTGAAAGTAGTTTTGGAGTCTGAGAGTTTGGGATGATTTGATATTTTGTTGTAATTGAGTAGATGTGTGTGAGAGAAAGAGTGATTGAGATGGAGAGAGGAGAGAGAAAAAGTAATTGATTGATGTGTAAGAGAGAGAAAGTGATTTTGAAATTTTTTTGAGAAAAACCACAAACCAAACCAAACAAAATTTTAATTTTATTTTTTTCAAAAACAACTCTCTCAAAAGCAAACCAAACAAGCCCTTAAATTTTATATTTTTCTTAAATTCTATTTAATTTTAAGTATATTTTTATATAATTCATAACATCTTATTAAAGAATATTATACAATATGCAACATATATGTGTCCATGACACATCCCTATGCTCATATTTAACTTTTGGATACTTATCCCAATATCCGAAAATTTAGATTTATGAAGGTCTGACACTTGAATACACATCCACACTCGATACTTGTACATGAGTCCATGTAACATTATAATAAAAAATTCTAGTCATTTCATCGAAGGTGGGGTTTGTTGTGGTCATTTAGTAGCCAAATATAAACTTTCTACCTACTAGAATGATTATTTGACTGTAACATTCTGATATGAAACTTGTCTATCAATTGCATGGTCCCAATATGATACAGAACATTTGGGGTGATCTCTCCTTAAGAAGCCAGAAATGAAAATTGAAAACTGAAAATCCGCCGGACATGCTTCGCCAATTTGTTGACATTTGTTGAATGGTCATGTCAAATGATAAAGCAAGACTAACTACCCTTGTTTTTGTAATGTTTATGCCATGGTACCAACAATAATGCATGTTATTCATGCTTTTGGAAAACAAAACATTAGAGGATTTCTTTGGCTGTGATGGTTTGCCGGGTTGGACAGTACTAACACCTTTATTGTGCCATTTTAGTAATTCATTCATTAATTAAATATTTAGCTTATTTGTTGCAAACGTTGAAAGTATTTTTATATACCCTCTTCTCTGTAGGTCGACACTATCGGGGTTGGTTGCTATTCTTCCAAGGATTTGTGGACTTGGAAAAATGAGGGCATTGTGCTGGCCGCAGAAGAAACTGATGAGACTCATGACCTACACAAATCCAACGTGCTCGAGAGGCCAAAAGTAATTTACAATGATAAGACCGGTAAATACGTGATGTGGATGCATATTGACGATTCCAACTATACCAAAGCTTCAGTTGGTGTTGCTGTCAGTGATTCCCCCACTGGTCCTTTCGATTATCTCTACAGCAAACAGCCCCATGGATTTGAAAGCAGGGACATGACAATCTTCAAAGACGATGATGGTGTGGGCTACCTCATCTACTCCTCCGAGGACAATAGTGAACTTCATATCGGTCCACTCACTCAAGATTACCTTGATGTGACACGTGTCATGAGAAGGATTCTCGTGGGACAACACCGGGAAGCACCAGCTCTGTTCAAGCACCAGGGGACTTACTACATGATCACATCAGGCTGCACGGGTTGGGCTCCAAACGAGGCACTGGCCCATGCAGCTGAATCTATTATGGGGCCATGGGAGACCATGGGGAACCCATGCATCGGGGGTAACAAAGTTTTTCGACAGACAACGTTCTTTGCGCAGAGCACATTTGTGTTTCCTTTGCCAGGGCTTCCTTTTTCTTTTATGTTCATGGCAGATCGGTGGAACCCAGCTGACTTGAGGGACTCAAGGTATGTTTGGTTGCCTTTAATGGTGGGTGGTGCAGTAGACCAGCCTCTCGACTACAATTTTGGGTTCCCATTGTGGTCAAGAGTGTCTATCTATTGGCATAAAAGATGGAGGCTTCCTTACAGGTGGAATGCGAAGAAACGATAAAAGGGTTTTTGGCGGCCTTACTCTTATCATACGTGCAGCGTTGATGTGAGGTTTAGGTATGTTCATTCTGGAGCTCTATTGGTCATTTTGCAGATCTCTTTGTCTAGATCATTTTAATATTAGTTATTGAGGAACGGTGAATGTCTATGGAGAAAGGATCAACCAGTTGCTTGAAGTTTTGCCAATAGTTAACACCGTGGTTAAACATACTTTCTTGATCATTGGGATAACTATTCATTTTCTTCGAACCTAAGGCGATGAAGTGGGGAATAGGAGAAAAACATGGTTGCCAATGTATCTGATATGGTCCACACCGCCAAGTATTGGAGAAACCAAATGGTTCAATGTGGCCAGCCTCGACTGACATTGTATGGAGTTGGGCCTTCGCATAACTAACTCAGCCTTTAAACAGATTTTAAAGGAAATTGGACACCAACAGTAGGGCCTGATACTGACGCGGCTAAGATTGGTCGCAGCGTTCAGATTGGCCTGTAACCGACATAGTACTGTGAGGGAAGGGTGAAAAGAAACCCATTGGGCAGAACTCAAATCTGATTTTCGTTTGTTTCCTATGTGAAATTGTTTTGTAAGAATTTGTAATTTCATCAGATAACAATAAGGGACCAAATTTTAATTCACTTCTTTTTTTAGCTTGACACCTGGACTAGATTATAATTACTTTTTCGAGTACCATACCAAGAAAGTATGAACAATGGATGCATTATAAAAAAAAAGTTAAAAAATGGATGCATAAAAGAATGTGAATTTAACAATCTTTTATTTATTTTCCAGCCCCTTTCCAATAAAGTAGCTGGTAGCATCTAATAACTGTGAAACAATTTCATCAGGAAAACATATGAAATTGGCCTGCAGGTGTGATATAAAATGCCAAAATATCATATAAGAACATTCTTTGACATCAATTGGCTTTAGAATAAATTGTAGATTTTGGTCCGACAAGTGGGTATAAGACCCAGGTGGTCATGGGTTCGAGTCACAAGAAGCTCATCATGGGGGGTGGGGTGGGGGGTGAGGCAGTTGGTGTATGCAATGTTGTTTTGTGCGACTGTTCTAAAAACAAGTCTGCAAATGTTGTAATGTCGAAAGTTATAAAAGAGGTTAGCGAAAACCTTTCTTATTCTATGCGTGCATGGCAATGGCATAAAATTGAAATGGTATCGTATCAGATAAAATGACCCAAAATGACATCAGCTTGAATTATTATTATTTTTTCATTTTATGTATTTTATAAAATTAAATACAAGTTCGATACTTATTTAAATTCCAAAATTAAATTATTGCCCTTACAATGAGAATGATTTTTGGGTATGGATTTTCCCCTGTCCCGGGTTTTTACTACAGGCAGAGAGCATTGCACGCTTCCTTGTGTTTCGGGGGAGTTGGGCGTTCCTTCGGTTCTTCGGAATTGTATTTATTCTTGGTCATTAAAATTCTGAGAATTATTGGAATAATAATGCTAGGAATTTAGACTCTACTTGAAAAAGAGATCTTTGTGATGGAGAGATATCTTGACTAATTGGCCAACATGTAAAAAATAAAAAATAAAATAAAAATAAAACAAATAAAATTATAATTTTTACTTAACAAAAAATATAAAAAAAATTAAATATTAATGTTTTAAAAAAAAATTCCAACATGTAAAAATTAAAAAAAATAAATAAAAAGAATAAAAAAAAAAAAATCCAACGGATTATTTCTAATATTAAATCTCAAGCCTCCATCTTAATTCTCTCCTCAAGGCTCATCCTAAACCGGAGAGGATTATGAATCCCCTCTTCATCTCCCAAAATAAACATAACATTAATGGGTCTCACCTCTATCTCCATTCCAGTCCCAATCCCCATCTATCTTCCAAAAGAAACGGGTAGGTATTTATCTTTGGTTTCATTAAAGATTTGAGAGGCCAACCTAAAATTTTAAACTAAATTATAAAAAGAATTCAAAATATAGAAAGTTGTAACCATCGTCGACAAATAAATAATGTAATGGTTAATAAGAATCACAATTGAGATAGAACATGTTTGTCTCCCGCTAATAATCTTTTTTTTATTTTTTATTTTTTATTTTATGAATAATAATTCATTAAGTACTCTTGTAGCATCATTTGATATGACAGACATGGTATTCTTAACTAATTACATAATTAAAAAATTTATGATTTAATATGAGTTCACATTTTTTAGGTATAATTGAAAAAAATAAAAAATGTTAAATTTAATATATATTGTAATTTTTCTTTTGTCAAAAAATATCATATACACTGAGAGGGTAATTTATATGTAAATTGGGCCGAGCTGGGTAATGGGCCATTCTGTGGGCCACAATAAGAAGGGCTGAGTAAAAGGGGCATTGTAATTAGTCCGGTCCAGAGGAGCCTTGTAGATAGCCCGGTTCGAAAGAGCTTGGTGGTTAGCTCGATCACCACGGTCGGCACGGTGACAGTTAGCTCGGTCAAACCATCTTGAGCCGAGGTATTTTTGGCTTCTACTCAGGACTTTGCTGTTGAGTAGCTTGGTCCAAGTACGCTATGGTTAGCACGGTCTACAGGCGAAGCCGAGGTACATGTTACACATAAAGCGCTGGGATAAATGTAACATGAGTATTGTTAGCTTGGTTACATTGTCATTGTGCCATGATAATGTTAGCTCGGTCGTTTGGACATACCACCGAGCTAGAACCATCTCACTTGATTTAAGCAGTGAGGGGGGTGTTGAAGGATAAGCATTATCTTTTAGGAGAGTAATTCCTAAGAGGACTCTGCATGGAGAAATAAGAGTCCTTCTAGGATTGTGCCACACGGAACCTATAAAAGCTCACAACATCACCTATGGAAAGGTAACAGAACTTTGATTCTCGAATACACAGAGCTTTTATCTATTTACCTATTTTGCTGACTTAGGCATCAGAGAGGTATCTGGCACACACCCGCCGACTAGCTCACATTTGTGTTTTCAGGGAGTAAAGCGACGACGTTTGGAGGAGTGCGGACTTGATCAACAGGATTATACGAGAAGATTATTTCTTGCTCGTACAATTGGCGTTGTTTGTGGGAATCACAGAAAGAACAAAACCTCCTGATCAAAGTTCTCTTCGCTAGATTAGACGTAATGGCGCACAATGAAGATTTGTCGCAGTCCGCCATTGACGGACAAACCCCAGAGGGAGGTGGGAGGTGCAAAGGTTTGCCTTCCGTCCCTCCCATGGCAAATTTAGAGCCCCAGCGACAGAACCCCCGGAGGGATGCAAGAGGGAGGTGGGGTAACAGCCCCCGTCGCTCATCAAGTCCTGATAGGCAGAGGCGGATGATCGACACTCAAGTTTTGGAGGATCGGGTAAAGGAACAAGACGAGTTAATCAGGAAGATGGCGGCGGATATGGAATTGATGAAGCGCCAAATAAAAGGGAAATGGGTGGCGACAGGAGAGGGGCGCAAAAGCAATACGCCTCCTCGCCACTTAGAAGATTGTGGTAGGCATACCACGCCATCGCAAACAGAGAGTAGAAGCCTCAGGACATGCGTCACTCAATCAAGGACTTCCAGAACTCGTTACTCCAGGTCTGAGAGAACGAGATCATTGAGGTTTTACACTGAAGGAAGCACCTATCGGCCCTCACATACGCACCAGACATCATCCAGGCAAACGGAGTTGCCTAGATCGTCCGACTTACGGACTGTGCTTGAAGAAAGGGCACGACGGAAGGAGGATGCCAGGGCACGCGACCTGCACAGAATTTCAGCCCTTCAGCGGTTGGCTCCTCGGACGCATGGAAGCGTCGAGGTAGGAATGCCAATATCGCACCTTACCTACGAACCAACAGATAAAGCATTGGCAAGGCTACATAGCTCGTCGTTCGTTTCGGCGATTGAGAATGCACCTTTATCTTCAAGGTTCATCCAGCCTAAATTTACAACTTACGAGGGGAAGACAGACCCCTACATGCACCTAAGCCACTTTCGTCAGGTTATGGCAGTATACCGGCGGGACAAGGCTTTGATGTGCATTTTATTCCCATCCAGCCTTGGTGACACAATTGGCGGAGGCATTCGTGACAAGGTTCAGAATGAACACCAAGACGCCAGTAGAAATCGATCAGTTACTCTCCATTGACATGGGCGACAAAGAGACGTTGAGATCCTACAACAATCGTTATTGGGAGACCTTCAACCAGATAGGAGATTGCCCACAAATCTCGCCATCGCGTAATACAAAAGAAGTCTTCCAGTCGGAAACAGGCTGAGAGACTCAATTACCATGACGCCCCCTCTCATAATGGAAGCCTTAATGGAGAGGGTACACCAGCACATTTGGGTGGAGGAGGATGGCGCTCGTGCTAAAACAAAGTCTGGTACAATCGCAATACCAGATAAAAAGACTTCGGCAAAAGTCAACACAGTAGAACGTCCAAGCAAAAACGGGCGAGGCAGGCGGGACAACGGAGAGGACCACGATAAAAGGTGGTTGAGAGTCCGCACTGCCATTACCATGGTGTTCAAAAAACCGATCTATCGGATTCTCAGTGAGATACGCGATGAACCTTTAGTCAGATGGCCAACTAAACTAGGGGAAACACAAAAGGACTATGACGAAAGATATCAGTGCACCTTCCATAAGGAAAAAGGGCACCGCACTGAAAATTGCACGCCATTGAGACAGCATCTGGAAGAGTTAGTGGCAGCTGGGCATCTGGACCAGTACATTGAGGAAGGCACGCAGCCAGCCCCCCAAAACCATGATCATCCAGACGGAATACCATGCCGATCGATGCCCCACCTCAAGGTGTGATAAACGTAATACATGGGGTATTCGAATCTGAGCGAGTATGTGAGCTCAAGGGAATGATCAAGAAGGTTGAGCACTTAAGGAAGGTATTAAGTGCGCAACCTATCATTAAAAAAGGGAAAATGGAGGCCACGAACGTCATGTCTTTTTCAGACAGAGACTTGGCAAGGATATATTGCCCTCACAATGATGCACTGGTCGTCACTCTCCGCGTCAAGGATTACGACGTCAAGTGAATTTTGATAGACCAAGGGAGCTTATGTGAGATAATGTATTACGAAACCTTCAAACAGTTAAAACTGGAAGACAAAGACTTGGCACCTGCCGTATCTCCTCTGATCGGATTCAATTTAATGCCAGAGTGGCCCGTTGGCAAGATTATCCTCCCAGTCAAAGCAGGAAGCATGACGAAACAAGTGGAATTCTGGGTATTGAAAGTCCCTTCCACTTACGACATAATCTTGGGGAGGACATGGCTGCATGCCATGCGATTTGTAGCGTCAACCTACCATCAAGTAATGCGGTTCCCCAACGATTCTGGAGTAATTGAAGAGGTCTTTGGAGACCAAATTATGTAAAAGCAATGCTTCGTCATAGTAAATGGTAGCCGAGCTGCCAAAGGGTTTGTTCAGATGGTGGAAGAACCTGAGTGCAATGAATTGTTTGCGGATGTTGGCAAAGCCGCCGAACAGAAGGTAGTGGAAGACTTGGTACAGGTAAGAATAGATGAAAAGGACCTGGAAAAGTTCTTTTTGCTTAGCTTATCTATGTCCAGCACCGAGAGAATAGAGGTCATGGAATACTTGACCTCTAACATCGAAGTGTTTGTCTAGACGCCGTATGACATGCCTGGCAT